TAACAAAACACCGCTGTGTTACTCGTAGACACACAACAGTTCTGCTGTGGCTTTGATTAGAACTATTTTCGTCAGCTAAATTGAGCAAAAACAGTCAATATTTTGTCTAAAATATCAGTCACTTAATTTTAACTTCTTGTTTATTGAACTACTATTGCATAAAGTCAGTGTCACACTGCAATCATGTTGATATTGATATTCGGGGAAACATCTTGGCTGTGTAATACTGCTTACCTAAATCATATTTTATAAATATAAATTTTGAATTCTGTACGAGTCTCTCTCACACACTCACTCAGGCTGCAAAAGCCTCATCTGGCACAACATAAATACATTATCAGTCGCCGTTTACACTGAATGCAATTAAAATCAGAATAATTCTCTTGCGAAATGACATGTTTACAATTACATGCGGATGTGAGTGTAAGTGTGACATCAAAATGGACCGGCGCGGAAATCGGCAGACTGACCGGCCGGTCACCGGTCTGGGTTGATCATGAGGAAAATCGGCTAATTCAGGTCCCAGGCCAGTCGATCGGTGCATCTCTAGTCCCTATACTAAACGCCACAGCTGCTGAACTGCGTTACGAGTCCATGGGGGTGCAGATGTTGACAAGACCAGCAAGTCACAACCAAATTTACCTATCCTCCTCCATTCAAATTTTTAATTTAAAACCAAATTTACCTATCCTCCATTCTGAGAAAATAAGAAGAAATGGCGGTTGAAGAGTCCTGGTTGGGAAAGCATTCATTTCCCAGAGTGGGGAAAAAACACTACGGAGAACACATCCTACCCAAAGGGGAGGTGACATGTGGAGAAACAACCTATGGACTTCCTGAAAGGAAGTACTGCATAGGGAAGGTTTCTGTGGTGGGCACCGTACAAGTGGAGAGCTACCAAGCACAGAAACAAGCGACAGATTGATCGTCTGTCTAGGGGAAACACTAATACAGATATGGGGCCACCAAAGGGAGCCACAAAATATGGAGCACTAATCCATTAAGAGAGTTCACTAGAGGGATACTAACCCATAATTAGTAGGATTCTTGTAGCAAGTTCCTCCGCTAACTCAGCTATTTAAGGAGTGCTTGAGTAATGGAAGGGTAGTCCAGGATTCATAAGAAGAAACTGAACTAGACTCACTGAATGCATATTACCACCTCAGAGAGGGGGAAGGCGCTATATGCAAGCTCAATACCTTACCAGCAACGCCCCTGGTCAAGTGCACCCTCACTCCCAGTGGGCATGGTAAGTCTCTGGCCTGATAGACTGTAAGAATCGCATCCACAATCCAGTGAGAGATCCTTTGGAGACAGTAGTCCAGATCTACACTGAGAAAAGAGATACTTTGCACAGGGGAGAATTTGTTCTTTTCTCAGTTGACCCGAAGTCCCAACCAGGCTGGGCGATCGAGGACCATGTCCCTGTGTGCGCAAACCAACTCTTGTGAGTGAGCAAGAATAAGCCAGTCGTCGAGATAGTTGAGAATGCAAATGCCTACTTCCCAGAGAGGGCCAAGGACAGCCTCCACAACTTTCGTGAAGATGTGAGGATACAGGGACAGCCTGAAGCGAAGAACTTTGTACATATATGCCTGTCCTTTGAAGGCAAACCAAAGAAATGGTCTGTGCCTTGGAAAGATCGAGACATGAAAGGGGCTGGGGAGCTTCAACCAAGCATTCAGACACCTTGCCAACAAGTCTCAGTGGAACTACGTTCAACATACCTGGGGCAGAACAGGTACCTTTTAGTAATTTGGGCACTAAAAGGTTAGCTGCTTGCTAGCAGTAGCCTGTTGCATTACAGTACATGAAAGTTCACTTACCACGTACACAGAGTAAGGAGAAATGTCTGATAGGACGATGGCGAATGATTTGCAGATCCTGAGCACTAATGACAAACATCTAATCTTGTCAAATGTGTGGTACTGCCGCTCCATAGTATATAGTCCTTGTGATCGCAAATCTCAAAAGTGAAAGTAAAATAAGAGTGTGCAATCAAAAGCGGTTTCAATAGCGCCTCCCTGATGCTCCCTTTATATACAGTCGCCTATACTTACCCAACGATATAATTGCAAGAAAAAGTATTGACATTTTTTTTATCCTCCCATCTCGTAGGCTATTTATTCCCTTTAGGGTTTCCATAGTACACTTAATTTCCTTTCCGAACACGGAACTGGGATGCGGCGGATTGCGGGAGAGGGGGTGGTGGGGGGTCTCACGATGTCAGCTTAACATCGTGATGTCTGTCAGCCATCGGCGATGGACGATGGTATCGTCTATGGTATCATTTTTTCGAGTTTGTTACAGACACAAACATTATTTGAAACCTATTTACTTTAGCTCCATTCTAGGTAAACATATACAAAAGAAATGCTGGAATCAGCTCAATAATGCACATACAGCCATGGTGATAATTTATCAGAATAATATGTTTTTTGTTGCACTTTTGTAGGATCTCTTTGGAAGAAAAGACTTCTTTCCTCAGAATGAGTTGATTAAGTTTTTTGCCACTGAGTTCTGCAGCAGAAAGCCTTTGAGTGTGCTGTGCGGGAACATCTTCTTTCTTCTCTGCGGTTTTGATGAGAAAAACCTGAACATGGTATAACACTCTTAAGCTTTGTTAAATCACACTTTTTTTTATCTCAATGGATTTGAGAATGTTTCTTCATGAGTTCCTTCATCTCTCTTTTTCAGAGCAGAACACCCGTGTACACAACACACTGCCCAGCAGGAACCTCAGTCCAGAACATGGTTCATTGGGCTCAGGTACCAAAACAAAAAAAACAAACAAAAAAAAAACCTCTCACAGTCTCTATGTGACATGTTAATATGCCTTACTGAATGTCCCTTTCCATCTGCAATACACTTTAAAACATTATTTCCTCAAAATGAGTGAAAGCACAAACACCAGTTCCTTCATCTGCCTCAGAGTTCAATATCAGTGTGAATTGACAGAGCAGAGAAGCACTGAGGTGTTACAATAGGGGATTTTTGGTGAGACCCACAGCTGCATTGAGATTTTTCTGGACTTGCTTGACCACATTGCCCTGCATGTGTTCTCAGGTGCACTGTATTATATTGTCATATATATATATATATATATATATGACAGAATATAATTATACATAATATATTTAATTTTATATATATATATATATAATAGAATATTATTATAAATTATATTAAGTCCCATTTTAATTTAGATTCACATTACCACTGTTTGGGAACCTTAAAGTGGATGGACAGGAATCCAGTGTGAACACAATCTTTTTAGATAGGGCAAAAGGCTGAGTGATTCAGTGAGACATTAGTTATACATGGCAGCAATTACTTGTAAAGATAATAAAATGCAGACCACACCTTACGTTGTATGTCTTAGGGCTGGTTCACACTGCCCCACCGAACAGCAACAATTCAAACAATGTAAAGATGTCTGTTGGATTTATGTTAAGAAACAACTGTCATGTTCACACTGACCCAACAAACACCAACATGGTCCAATAAAAGCCACACAGACTGCTCTTTGATACAGAAGGCACTATCAAACATTTGAACGTTCTACTTTATAGTTTTACCTGATTTTAAATACATTTCTTGTATTCTTTGTACAGGCTGTGAAATCCAGTAAGCTTATGGCTTATGATTATGGAAAAGCTGGAAATATGGCACATTATAATCAGGTAACATTGAGGACTTGACTATTTCTGCCCTTAAAAGGGACCCAAAAGTTAAAATTCTGTCATTTACTCACCCTCATGTCTATATACATTACTTTCTTCTGCTGAACACAAATCCTAACCAAACAGCTTCGGTTTCCAGTTCTAGTTACCAACGTTCTTCAAAACACTATCCTCATTTGTGTTCCTCAGAAGAGACAGTCATATAGGTTTGGAAATGACATGAGGATCCGTAAATGATAACAGAATTTCACTTTAAGCTATTTTCACCACTAACTGTACAATTAATTTGCCTATCCAGGGGATTTTTGAAATAATGTAGACTCTTGTGAGGATGAATGTGTCATGTTTGCTGTCACTCTGAGTCAGTAGTGAAACTGACCAGTGCTTGAAGTATTAAAGTCTCTTCCTGCGTCTCCCCTATCAGTCGACCCCTCCCCTGTACAACGTGCGGGACATGACAGTACCCACAGCCTTGTGGTCTGGTGGGCAAGATACTCTGGCAGATCCTCATGACGTGGCTGTACTGCTTACACAGATACCTAAATTGGTGTACCACCGCAACATTAAGCACTGGGAGCACCTGGACTTCATCTGGGGTTTGGATGCCCCACAAGAGATGTACAACAAAATGATCGAAATGATGAGGGAGAATGTGTGAAGAGACATTTTGATTGAGCAGTAGGTTCTATCAGCAGTTTTTTTTTTTTAAACATTCCTTGAGCTTGAACTAATACTTTTGAACCTCTTTGTTTGTTCTTTCTGTAAGCAGATGAACCCATTTGTTTGAGGTGCTGTTAACCAAATCAGCAATTTGCGAATGTAAATTTGATATTACAAACTGATTTAAGCCTTCGGACCATCACCCAGAGACCAGAGTTTTACACTCATGATCAGGTGTTGCCTTTTAAGGACATGCACTTGTTTAATGTGTTTAACTAGCTTTTACTAACAACTACATCTACAAACTCACTATACCGTAGCATTTCATGGAGTGTCTAAAGGTTTTGTCACATAATGGATGGATTTTGTAAAACATGACTTGAAATAAACATACATTGGTGCAGAAGACGTGTATACAAAAAGTAACTTGGCTTGGTGAGAGATTTTACATTTAAACCAACAACTTTACTCAAACCAAATCCATATGAAATCTTGCAGTGCTAAAAACAAACTTTAACACTTTAAAACAAACTGAATATACTACATTAAATGATCAATATACATAAGAAAATCAACAATACAAATAGGAGTAATCAAATAAAAAAAAAACAATCAAATATGCTTAAATACATCTTTCATTTGAGAAAATTTATTTTTATAACATTAAGTGTAACAATGTGTGGTGCAAAAAGTGTAAAACATTGTGACAATTGGTGAAAACTCATCTAAAATTCAGATGGTGAATTGTAAAGGACCACACACTCATGTCCTCTAATACTCACATTGATTTTGTTAAAATTGTAACAATTTTGTGAAATTGTAGTCTCTTTGCAATATCTAGCGGGGTTTGATGATTCTGTAAAGAAGACAGAAACAACATGTCAAACTATTAATGGAGTCATACAATGTGTAAATACTAATATATATTTAGCACACCACTTTGAGAGAGAAAACAGAAAACAAAATGTACAATGCTTGTTTCACAAGATCAACACCAGTTTCAAATCCTGTCACTCTCAGCAAATGTAACATTTAACATTCACTTACCAAGTTTTTTTAGTTGACATTAAGAGAATGATTTGCTGCTAAAAACAGTACAACACCTCTATGTCACCTGTCACTACTTTATACATTTTTTCCTTATCTACCATGTAGATTAAATAGTTTAAATTTTTTTAAAGTTACTTCAATAAATAAAACAGTAAGGTTACAGATCCCTATATAGCAGTTCCTGTTCAAATAATTGCTATAAATAATTTACCTACTTTATTCTGTACTGAAACATCTGCATCTTTCTCCAATAACAATGGAACGATCCTTTGACTTTTTCTTTGGCACGCATAGTGAAGTCCAGTGTTCCCCTTCTGAAAAAAGCAAAGATGCACAAAGTATACCATGAACATCCTTTGCATGATCATAATCTCTTAATTACCCAATTTCTCACTAGAAAAAAAATTCACAAAACATGAGTGTTCTACTTACATAGTCTACAGCATTTACTTCTACCTTAGTGGCCAACAGAAGCTCCATCAATTTCACACTTTTTCTTTGTTTCTCTTCCTTTTGAGAGATAAAAAGGTAAATGCTTTAATATTGTATAATTAAACACATTTAGGTTAGTCATAAATTAAAGTCAGATGTGATGGACAAGAACACCCTTAAAACATAAAACACTTTCTATTCCTGTACACTAATCTCAGGGAAATTCCTGATCTCACACAGCAGGTTAAGATTAATATTCAATTTTAGTCTCTTTTTTCAGACAGTTACTAGTCTCTTCCAGAAATGCCATGACTGAGCGATAACCTACCATTATAAGATAACCAATTAACAAGATAGGCATTAAAATGGCAATCATCAGGTAGTCCAGGAAAGAAAATGTTCTTCTTGTAGCGTAGTGCAAACAAGTCCTTTCTTTCTAAAGGAAGAATGTACACATAGATATGTTTAAATAAGCAAGCTGACCACACAGAATAAACAATCATCAATCAAATTTACCACAGGGTGAGTCAGAAAAACAACATGCATTAAAATAAATCACTGAGCTTTAGACTCACTCATATCAATACAACGACAGCATTACGATAACCAGGACTATTTTCAGGCTCCTCACTTATGCAATACCTTATTTCTAATAGACACATTTGCATTGCAATCTAGAAGGTATTTGACAGTCCTGAGGTTTCCTTGTCTACAGGCGGCTATGATCGGTGTGTCTCCTGTTCCTTCATCTTGAACATTTACATTTCTGGTATCAGCCGAGATCAGTTTTTGCAACTTGTGGATGTCATCGTCATAAGCTGCCTGACACATAGGCTATGGAAAGAAAGCAGCACAAAATATGATTTGAAAAATGTACATGAAACAATTAATTATTTTAGATCCAGTACATTTAATAAAAATAAGATACTAAAGAATAATTAAAGAGGCAGGCGATTTTAGAAACATGGCTTGATATCAGATAGGGTGAAGAGTAAAACAGGCCTGGTGACATCCCAAGCATGACAGATAACTTTACACAAACACGCCCTTTCCATATACAAAATTACAGCTAAAATAACAAAAAAAAAGTTACATTTTATTTACATAAACACTGTATAATTGTCTTTACGCAGTGCTGTATTTTTCCTTTACATATAGAAATAGGCTATATTATGTCTTTCAAGGTCTGAAGATATACCGGTAAGTTAACACAGTAGAGCCATAATAAAAAATAAAACAATTTTAAAAAAAGATGATTCTCTGGGACACCGTCAAACAATGTGTCGTGTCGTGTGTTAGGGTGACCATACGTGCCATTTTCCCAGGACGTGTCCTGGCCAGGATTTCTATATTGCCTAAAATATCTAGGTTTTGGCTTTGTTTGCGTGTGCAGACCGATCAGTGACATCAAAGTATCTCGAGAGCATTTTGAAAGCATAAGGAAGCGTCTGTATGGAATTTTGATGTCACTGATCGGTCTGCACACGCAAACAAAGCCAAAACCTAGATATTTTAGGCAATATAGAAATCCTGGCCAGGACACGTCCTGGGAAAATGGCACGTATGGTCACCCTACATAAGCCCAAACCTGAAGACTTGTCAGATAAGAGGTGAGGTGAGCTAATCATAGACTGAAGACCCAGGTAAACAATGAATTAATCTTTTCTGTTTCTTATAGCAGTTTTGTATTGTTTGTAGTGTGATCAACGTTTGCGTAAGTAGTAGACGTATTAGGGAAGTAACGTAACATTTTAATTATATTTTGCTAAAATGAACGAAACTACTCGAAAAAAGATTCGTTCATATTTCTGAACGAGACTCAAAGGTCCGAGTCGGTAAAATTATCCGAACTTCCCATCACTAATTTTCAGCCTTGGAGTTTCATGCCTTAGACCGGCCCACTTGTTTTATTTATTTATTTTTTTATTTGTTTACTTTTCAGTGCCGCCTTTGCACTTTCTATTATCCATTTTTCATCTATTCTTTTTTTTTTTTTTGAGCAAGGTGCCGCTGTCAGAGGAGTCAAAAAAAGATAATAACGTCATCATTAGGGTTGCCAATTAACTTCAGAAATGGAAAATAAGGGACGATTGTGATTCTTTATCTTTTATTCTTTAAGAAAATAGTGTTTATTTTGTATTCTTGTAGAAAATAAGAAAATAAGGGACAGAATAAGAGACACTCCAAATATTTGTACTTTACCATAAGGGCCTTTCGCCTTAAGGGACGCTGTGATCGGAGCTGTGTTTTTGGTGTGTCTCGCGGGTTTCACAATAATGGACGTGGAAAGTCGACGTATACGTAAAGCGAAAATTGTGTCAACTTATTTCGCAAGTATGGAGAACAGCGATAGATGGACGGACGCTGAAGTGCAGGCACTTGTAGCAAATGTAGCACTGCCAGTTGTCGTTGGAGATTCTTAGTCCTCCTTTCCATTCTTTCAATCGCTTTACGTATATGTCAACTTTCCATGTCCATTATTGTGAAACCCGCAAGACACAACAAAAACACAACTCCGATCACAGCGTCCTCCATCCTCCTGTTGTTAATGTTGTTCTTCTTTGTTTCTGTTGTTGAACGCCGCGTACAAATGACAGTGCTGTCGACCGGCTTACGTCACTTCTTAGTACACACTCTCGGTGCGAATGCAACCCTTTAAATGGTACTGGAAAATAGTTCGTGCAAAATCGTCCCAGTACTTTAGTACTGTACATTTAGTTCTGGAACTAAAGCGGTGCGAAAGGCCCTAATGTACTGTATGTCTGCCTGCAGTCAAAACCATACACCGTGTCTACACCGGACGTGAGCAGCGTGGCGCGACAAAATACTATAGAACTCATTATAATCAGTGATGCTCTCTACACTGGATGCGGCGCGGCGCGGCGCGACATGATAAATCCCTGACAGAAAACTGCTGCTGCTGCTGAGTTCTATTTATGACATATTGACACAAATTTCAAATGATTTTCAACAGTCGCTTTGTCGCATCCAGTGTAGACAGACTTTAGTTGTTGGCTTGGTGCGACAACTGTTGCGTCCGGTGTAGACACGGTGTTACTCACCTATCGAGAAGAAACAAAGCAACCTCGGCGTCTGATCGCAGGCCTTCCGCTCCTTGAGTTCTCTCCAGCGCTGGAAAGCTGATCCGATATTTACTTAGGTCCTACTTCTTGCCTTACCGTAAACCTTCTTTAGTTCCGCAGACATTTTCCCCTTTTGTTTTTTATCCGCCATATCTTTCTGTCGCTTGGCTTGGCTCGGCTCGGCTAATGTGCGTCCTGTACACTGAGCGCTCTCTCCTCTGCATCATGAGTAGACACACCCCTTACTGCTGCTGATTGGCTACAAGTTTGTTTTGGTACTCGGCCCGACTCGGTTTTCTAAAGCGTTTAAAAAAAAATACACACCCCACCCTTAAGAAACACTAATTTCCTCTCAACATAAGCTAGAATAGACTAACTGGCCGGTTTAAACGGGTATAATGAAAACAGTTTCCCAAGTAGAGCCAAGAAAACGAACAAACGAACAACACTCACTCATGCACTTACTCACTCACTCGCACACACACACACACACAAATATACAGTTTTAATAGCTGTTCTGTTATTACACATCATTATAATAGCATCCACATAATTTCCAGTTTCTTTGAGAACCACAGTTAACCAGTCAAAGGGATCTGATTGTACTTGTCTAACGAGATCTGACACTGCCTGTAAATTATTATTTTATTTTAAATAAGTATTTATGTTATTTTTTATTTTATTATTATTTTTATGCAGTTAGAAATTGTGCCTACTGTCTGTGAATACTGAAGGATGTGTAACAAAATTTGTATCTGGTAAAGGCTACTGCAGTAGCCCGCCTCCCCTTATTTAGAGAACATTAGTAATACTAAAATATAATTTAGAAATTTAAAATTGTGATAATAGTATTATTTTTTTTGGAGATTCTTAGTCCTCCTTTCCATTCTTTCAATCGCTTTACGTATATGTCAACTTTCCATGTCCATTATTGTGAAACCCGCAAGACACAACAAAAACACAACTCCGATCACAGCGTCCTCCATCCTCCTGTTGTTAATGTTGTTCTTCTTTGTTTCTGTTGTTGAACGCCGCGTACAAATGACAGTGCTGTCGACCGGCTTACGTCACTTCTTAGTACACACTCTCGGTGCGAATGCAACCCTTTAAATGGTACTGGAAAATAGTTCGTGCAAAATCGTCCCAGTACTTTAGTACTGTACATTTAGTTCTGGAACTAAAGCGGTGCGAAAGGCCCTAATGTACTGTATGTCTGCCTGCAGTCAAAACCATACACCGTGTCTACACCGGACGTGAGCAGCGTGGCGCGACAAAATACTATAGAACTCATTATAATCAGTGATGCTCTCTACACTGGATGCGGCGCGGCGCGGCGCGACATGATAAATCCCTGACAGAAAACTGCTGCTGCTGCTGAGTTCTATTTATGACATATTGACACAAATTTCAAATGATTTTCAACAGTCGCTTTGTCGCATCCAGTGTAGACAGACTTTAGTTGTTGGCTTGGTGCGACAACTGTTGCGTCCGGTGTAGACGCGGTGTTACTCACCTATCGAGAAGAAACAAAGCAACCTCGGCGTCTGATCGCAGGCCTTCCGCTCCTTGAGTTCTCTCCAGCGCTGGAAAGCTGATCCGATATTTACTTAGGTCCTACTTCTTGCCTTACCGTAAACCTTCTTTAGTTCCGCAGACATTTTCCCCTTTTGTTTTTTATCCGCCATATCTTTCTGTCGCTTGGCTTGGCTCGGCTCGGCTAATGTCCGTCCTGTACACTGAGCGCTCTCTCCTCTGCATCATGAGTAGACACACCCCTTACTGCTGCTGATTGGCTACAAGTTTGTTTTGGTACTCGGCCCGACTCGGTTTTCTAAAGCGTTTAAAAAAAAATACACACCCCACCCTTAAGAAACACTAATTTCCTCTCAACATAAGCTAGAATAGACTAACTGGCCGGTTTAAACGGGTATAATGAAAACAGTTTCCCAAGTAGAGCCAAGAAAACGAACAAACGAACAACACTCACTCATGCACTTACTCACTCACTCGCACACACACACACACACAAATATACAGTTTTAATAGCTGTTCTGTTATTACACATCATTATAATAGCATCCACATAATTTCCAGTTTCTTTGAGAACCACAGTTAACCAGTCAAAGGGATCTGATTGTACTTGTCTAACGAGATCTGACACTGCCTGTAAATTATTATTTTATTTTAAATAAGTATTTATGTTATTTTTTATTTTATTATTATTTTTATGCAGTTAGAAATTGTGCCTACTGTCTGTGAATACTGAAGGATGTGTAACAAAATTTGTATCTGGTAAAGGCTACTGCAGTAGCCCGCCTCCCCTTATTTAGAGAACATTAGTAATACTAAAATATAATTTAGAAATTTAAAATTGTGATAATAGTATTATTTTTTTTTTACAGAAAAACTTTCTCATTAATTTACCAGTAAAATATTGTCTTTCTGCTCATCTCAACAATAGCAGAAAGAGACACGGGAGAGAGCGCCACCCCACTCACAGCGCTAGTTCACACTGATGGGTGCTTGAGTTAAGATTAACCACGACAAAATTAAGCGAAGCGGCCATAATATGTAGGTCAAACACTAATGTATTTTAGAAATAATCCCCTCCCAAAACCCCGCATCTGCTCATAAGAAACTTTCCGAGAAAAAAAACCCCAAGCTCAAATAATTGGCAGACATCGCAGCACTGTCTGTTATGATTTACAGAATCATATTTTACTCAACTTTGGCAGAAACGGGCTTCGATAGTTTAGATGTAGCCTATGTTTATTATTTTAAGAGATTTTATTCCTGTCAGGCAGATGTGATTTGTCGACTCGGAGGAGTTGTGCCCCATCTGGTGGATAAAAATAGCCTACAAATTATGTCAGTATTTATTTTTCTGGCGTAACATTTCACAAAATAAATGAAAACAGTTTGAGAGGAACGTGTTAGGCTTCACTGTCTTTAGAATGTGAATAGACTCTAAATGTGCTTGAAAATAATGTAATGCCTGAGAGTGTCTATCTGTTTATCCAAGTAAAAGCTTGTATGTCATGATATGCATCTACCTTTACAGACGTATAGTCATTCCCACCCCCTTTAGCTGTCACACTGGTCGCGGCTCAAACCTAGTGAACAAGACAGCGTTTGGGCATCATAGAAGAATCCAGAGAATCCGGATGCTGACTAGATAGGCGGCTCGTGAGGGTTTGAAACACAGCCAGAAAAAGCACCGCTGCTAATAGCAGCATTCATCTGACATCGCAGGGTTATTCGCTCTGAAAGACAGCAATCAGCCATTTTAGCTTTGCGCGTATATCCATGCCAAAACAACAAAGCTTCCATGCGGCACAAAGGCAAAAGACCGAGAGTTTTAGACAATAATAAAAAACCTGCCCTTTTATTTACGCGAGTTGCCTGTTTTCGAGCTGAATTCTAGCATGTGCCACATGTGACGATTGTAGGAATGTGGAGCATGGGATCACAACAGCCCTTCAACTACAGGTGAGGATTTTATTGTATTTATACATTTCATTTTGTGGTAATAAATTAGGCCTATGATTATTACTGGTTTTATTTCTAAACAATTTTTAAATGAATGTTTAAGTGAAATTGTTGCAATCTTTTCAGATGGGAAATGTATCACTGTCCTGATCATTGTGACTGGTTTACTGATAAAGTAATATTATTTGTATGAACTGTGTGATTATAATGATCATATCTGTGCTGTGGATTTTGACTTGACGTCTTAATGTTGACTGTTTATTGGAGGAGCTCCAAGTTTGAGCACTTTAGATGCTCATCATCATCATATACAATGCATTTGTATCATACGTTTATAGTGACTGAAAATGAACGTATTTATGAGGACAATTCATGAATCAGAGGAGACTGGAAAGTATAAAGAAAGTTACTTTAGTGTAATATTACTTCTACCCACAGTACTAACTATTTAAATAATGTTTTTAATTACAAATAAATATACAGTATATTATATTAGAGCCTGTTTTATTCATGTGCTGGGCAGGAATGAGTCCTTCATGAACTTTGACATCATACATTTCAGGCATATTAATAGCAATTGCTAGCTAGACATAAAGAAAGTTACTTTAGTGTAATATTACTTCTACCCACAGTACTCACTATTTAAATAATGTTTTTAATTACAAATAAATATACAGTATATTATATTAGAGCCTGTTTTATTCATGTGCTGGGCAGGAATGAGTCCTTCATGAACTTTGACATCATACATTTCAGGCATATTAATAGCAATTGCTAGCTAGACAACCTAGTACTTACATATAGTAGAAACAGTAGTCATCATGTTAATCATTTAATCGTGAGACACAGTCATAGAGATTGTGTTTTTACCTAACACAAGCATGTTTGCAGATGTGGACTGCGGTTTGATTTACTTGGCTCTTAAAATATGTTGAAGAACCGCTCATCCCTCCTTGAAAATGCTTGTGTTTTTACTGTATAAACCCTCTTTAGACTTCAGCAGAACACCATAATAAATTAGTATTTTGGAGGGCTATTATTTCAGTCTATGACACATACCATTATAATTTTTTTTTTTTTTGTGACGCTTAAAATCCTTTTGCAAGTATTGTTAGAGACATGTGAATCCAGACAGTTGCTTGAGTCATTATGTACTACTCATTATCTGCTTTTTTTATGAGTAAATGTGAAATTGCTAAAATATTTTGAACATTAATATACACATCATATATTATATGCATATAGTCTAGAATTATAATCTATTTTCTTAACTAATCGAATGCAAATGTACATTATGCAAGGCCCTAATTATCAGAGATTGCTCAGTGTTAAATCTGTCATCTCCTTTACACTGCTGTCTTATTTTAACAGTGCATCTACTTTAAATTGCCATGGAATCGGTATTCAGAATATAATCTTCTGTGGTGGTGGTGGTGGTGGTACTTTTCCATTTGTTAATTTGCAATTTGCTGTACAGCTTTCAAAGAGTAAAAAAAGAAAGAAACAGTGCAATATGTACCCAGCTTTGTGCTAAATGAAAAAGCTCACTAAGGTTTTTTTTCACAGCTGAAGATATCCATGAGTCACCGTATTTTGCTGCATGGTAACAAGCTGTCATAGCAACTGTAGCACAGATTCTGGAACGAATAGCCGTGTTATTTGGACAGAGATGCTGAATTATATTTGATAATCCCCATGGAAATGCACAGGGCATGGTAACCGTGTTAATAGATTAGGAAGAATACGCTAGGAATTCTACAGCGTAGAGTTGTAGCCTAAGATAGTGTTGAGTAACTGAAAAGAAAGGCTGTATCGACCCAGTGGCCTCTTAATAGAACTGCTGTGATGCCAGATATGATGTTTCTTGCTCCTCAGCTTGGAATCATCTTGGGAGATGACAGATGGATGCATAGGGAGGATCGAAGCCTGCGAGCCAGCGTTGTAAACTCACCATGGACCAGGGCTTCAGTTTCAGCACACTGGTGAGTGGCGTTGTGGGAGGAGGAGGAGGGTGGTGGGGGATAGCTGATATTACTCGGAGGTGGGTCACAGGGACAGAAAGGCTTCCTCTGACTCACTCCCTTTAGTATTCCCATTGCAGCTGCTCCGTCATTCAGATCCCTCCATCCTGGAGTGGGCGAGAGGGAAGTAACGGATGTAGCCCCCTTCACACTTTGTTTCCCCTCTTTGTGAATGCATGATCAAACATAGTCTTCTTATTCTGGCCACCCAGAGTGCTATTCTCCAACAATAGTACAGAGACTTTTAATTTGGCTTTTTCACAACATTCACAGATTTTTGTGCATGTGCTGTTCAAAAGTCAAGCAATCTGTCATGTCCAACAAGTGTAACAGCTCGGCAGGCCCTTATGGAGTCCATCAGTGTCCTGCTGCATGTTGATAAGACGCCCACTCTTTTCAGTGACCCTAAAACAGAGGCTCTGTTTAGTCATTAGTATGAGAGCTGGAAGCGAACTCAGCGTGGGTGCTGCTGGGTGTTCCGGTTCGCCTAAGCTGGGTGATGAACAGAGCTTATGTTGTGTTTATCGGAGACCTGTGATGTCTTTGGGATCAAATGCTCTATGCCGCTGGTGTATGGGGTCCAATCCTAGTTCAGTTTGCCTATTCTAGAGCAATTTTATTTGGCAGAGCTATAATGTAGCTCATCAGATTGACACTTTTAAAATGAGCAGGAAATATTTGAAGGGATAGTTCACCCATTACTCATTACTACGTCATTAATTAATCGCCCTTCATGTCGTTCCAAACCCGTAAACCTTTGTTCATCTTTGAAACACAAATTAAGATATTTTTGATGAAATTTGAGAGCTTTCTGACCCTGCATAAACAGCAGCGCAACTGACACGTTCAAGGCCCAGAAAGGTAGTAAGGACATCGTTCACAAGAGTACCACAATGCATTTCTCTGCTTGTAATCAAGGCGCCGTGCATCCGGGTTCTACGTCAGAATGCCGGCTCCTGTGTCAGCAGCATCACACGCATATGTCGTAGTAGAAGACTCATATGGTTTTCTTTGCACACAAAAATTATTATCATAGCTTCATGGAATTAAGGTTGAACCACTGATGTCACATGGACTATTTTAACGATGTCCGTACTACCTTTCTTAGCCTTGAAACGTGTCCGTTGCGCTTCTGTCTATGCAGGGTCAGAAAGCACTCGAATTTCATCAAAAATATCTTAATTTGTTTTCCGAAGATGAACAAAGATCTTACGGGTTTGGAATGACATGAGGGTGAGTAATTTTTAGGTAAACTATTCCTTTAAGCACACAAAATAGGCTAAAGGAAAAAGGTATTGAAAAAAGAGGGATAAATTGTCCAAAATTACATCACTGTATGTCTTTATCAGCAGTAATATTTCATAGGTGATAAAACTCTTGCGCATTGTCATCATGGACTCATGGTTTGCAGAGGGTACCCTGTGTGCCACTGCACTGTATTCACATGGTTTTTGTTGTCCTCTCCGTTTGCAGAAGAAGTTAGCTGCAGAGCCAGATCACACTGACGTCACTCTGCCAGCGGTGGAACGCGTGCGGGCCCTCAGCAAAATGGGCTATAACATTGAAATAAATGAAGACATCGCCCCGAGACGCTACTTCCGCTCTGGTGTTGAGATGGAGCGTATGGCAGCAGTTTATCTAGAGGAGGGCAGTCTGGAGAATGCCTTTGTCCTCTACAACAAGTTTATCACGTATGTTTATTTAATCTTATCTTATCGCATCTTATCGCTTGTCCTACAGTATTTAAGGTCACAGGGATGATGGAGTCTTTCCCAGCATCTTGGGCCATTTTTGTTTTGTTTTGTCTTCACAGCTGTCATAAAAATGTCTTCTCTAATTCATGGCAATCAGCCTTCAGCTTTATTTTCCTATTTCACTCTTGCACAGTTTATTTGTTGAGAAACTCCCCAGTCACAGGGACTATCAGCAGTGCAACGTCCCTGAGAAGCAAGTAATAATGAAGGTAAGCCCCTGGCATGTTACTCTCAGGAACTGATGGAGCCCTGTTGCGCCCGGCCCACTGTAAATCTAATTAGCATCATTTTCAATTACCTTGGCTAGAGGACTTGTCAGGCTCCCAGCTGCTCACATTGTGGGTTTGCCTTGTGTGGACTCATGTTCTGCTTTCATTTCAACAAAGTGACATGAAACTGACTTAAGTCAAAAGGTTCTTCCTAGTGTCCTGATTTATCAATCATTGTTTAAGAGACAAATGTCTGATTTAAACTGTATTTTTATTTTATTATGGATGTTTTAATGCATTTTTTTTCATTAATTTTTTGTGCCTCAAAGTATTTACAAAAATGGAAAAGTTAGGATGTGACATATCAATGATTTTGTCCTTTTTTTAAAAACTAATAGTCTGAGGTATATGTCAAAGTCATTAACCATGATTTGCTAATTGCTATTGCTAGTCGATGGCATTGTTATTGATATTGCTACAGAGGCATTCCCACTGTGGTATTGCTATAGAGGTTTTGTTTTTTAACCAGCATTTGTAGTGCAGCGTGAGAGATCAATATTTTTGGTTAGTTTTTTGGAAGACAGTAGTTTAAATTTGACTGAATATCTTCTAAAGGTTTCATCCACTGACATATACTGTAAATAGCCTCAGTGCTAGCAGACAGTGACTAAAAGCCACAAAACTCAAATTAGCCTAATGATCTTAATGTCTGCTGCTGGTCCCTGAATTAAAAAAGAAAAAAGAAAAGAAAAAAGATGAGTAATTCGTTTGTGTCTCTATTCCCTGCTTTTTAAAAAACCATTATGTCCATGAAAGCTTTAGCGCATATTGATCTGGTACTCGCTGTCTGTAACACAACCCCTAATGTTTGTCCCATTATCTGTTCATTATGTTCAGAAACTGCAGGAAGTGGCCTTTCCACGAAAGGACCAACTGAAGAGACTTCTCCATGAGAAATACAGCAAAGAACACAGTGAATATCTGAAGAGTCAGGTACATTAGTCAGAGTACTTCTCATTCACTGCTGATGAATACCTGTTAGTCAAATTTCAGATTAATTTCATTATTGTGAATATTAATCATGATGTGTGAATATTTTTGCAGACTCAAGCCATGGCTGTTGACATGTGTAGTGAACGACTGCAGAAGATGTCTCTGTTGGAGGAGGAACGGCAACGTGTAGCACAGCTCAGGAAGATGCAAATTGAGTCTGAGCAGTTCCGCTACTTTGAGGACCAACTGCATAGACAAGAGTTGGCCAGTCACAGAGATGAGGCTGTTCCCAAAGTGCCTGAACAAACTGATGGGTCCTGCTTATCCCAGACCCCAAGAAACCATGTGCGCCTTGACCCCAATCGTAACAAACCAGCGGCCTCTGTCCCCAAACCGGCAGCCACCTTAGCAGCTGTACAAAGTGAGTGCCCTCATCTAGCTCATATTTGCCTGTTAGTAATTGTAGTGATTTAATACACAGCTCTCTGATTATTCAGTTTTTTATACATTAATTGTTAAACTGCATGTTGCTATTGTTCTCATATAATCTAATAATTCATGTTCACTTATTTACACTGCCATTTAAAAGTTTGGGGTAAAATGTTTTCATGTTTTTGAAAGAACTTAAGAACTTCTCACGCTCACCAAGACTGCCTTTATTTGATCAAAATACAGTAAAAAGAGTAATATTATGAAATATTATTGCAATTTGAAAGGACTTTTTATTTTATTTTAATATGTTTTAAAATGTAATTTATTTCTGTTATAGCAAAGCTTTACTTTCAGTCTTTCGTTAGTGTCACATGATTCATCAGAATTTCATTCTAATAGGCTGATTTGGTGCTCAAGAAACATTTTTCATTATTATCAATGTAGAAAACAGTTGTACTGTTTAATACTTTTATGGAAACTGTGGTACATTTTTTTTCAGGATTCTTTGTTGAATAGAAAGTTCAAATGTTGTATATGTCTTTACTGTCACCTTTGATCTATTTAATGTACCCTGGCTGAATAAAAAGATTAATATTGAACAGCCATACAGACACAATACGTAGGATAATGTACAGTCAGAGTCGTTATCACGAAATAAACAAGTTCAAAATTCTAGAAAGCTTCTATTGACTCTGAAGGGGTTTATTTTGCAATAATACCTGTCTCACTGTACGTTATCCTTTGCTTGTGTTATTAGCAGAACTACAATATGTTGTTTTATGCTGTGTGTTTCTAGATCAGCGTGTCGAAGGCCTGAGGCGGGTTTTAATCCCACGAGACCTGACTTACAGGTTCCTTCTGCTGGCTGACAGTAACACCGCGAGAGGAATTGAGACATGTGGAGTTCTCTGTGGAAAACTGGTAAGGCCTCAGCTGGAGCTTAACTCTTTTCTGTGGACGTGAGATTCTTTTGTTCCTGAAATTGCTGATCCTTTCCTGAAGTGAGTGTGAATATGTTTTGGGGAGTGTTAAAGGTCAAATCATGCTTCTTTTTTTTGGCTAGTTATATGCAGCTTTTGTCATTCACTGTAAAACTAGAGCTTCAGTGTTGCACAATCAGTGTAAATACTAGGTGTTCACTCTAGGAACTTCCTCATACTTTCAACTCACAATTTTGTCCTATTCACCAACCAACTGCAATCCATCTTAATCTTGCAGCAGTTGCAGTCCTCCCAGCAATTGTCTCAAGCTGAGATTTTCTCCCCTTTGTACACTTTCATCACTTGCTTCACTTGTCAATCCCACAATCCTTTACAGGATGCTCAGCTTCCATAAAGAATTAATTTGTAGGATGCTGTGACCGCCTGATATGTTGTGTGTTAATAGACAAAGTAAAATCTGTTTTTTTTTCCCCGCAGACGCACAATGAGTTTGTGCTGACCCATGTGATCGTCCCCAAGCAGTCTGCCGGTCCTGACTACTGTGACATGGAGAATGTGGAAGAGCTGTTCAGTTACCAGGACCATCATAATCTTCTGACCCTGGGCTGGATCCATGTGGGTGTCTCTCTTTTTCAGACTGTCACGTAATTTCTGAACACCAAGATTATGACTGTGCACCTCTTTGTTTTTCACACCTTTGGCAGGTGAAAAGCTTGCTGGTGACTAATTTTCAGGCCCACACAGAATCTGAGCCTGCAGAAAGCGCCACAGATTTTCACAGATTTTGAGCAGCCATTGTTCACATCCTATTTCACTTGTGTGTTTGTTTAGTAAATATTTTGGCTAATCTGATTTTAATTAGCAATAAGAGAGTACCCTCCAAAATAGGGGTTCAACGGATCATAGTTGATCTGTTATCTGTATAGACCAGGTCCCACAGTTCGGCATGCCTGTGATTCTCAGATTAGTTATGAACCATCATAGAGTGATGTATGCAAGTCTTGCCAGTGTAAACAGTCAAGCAATTTGAAACCATTCAAGTGCAAGAAGAGGCAAAAGAGAACTTAATTCATTATTATTAATTGGTACTTCTATGCTGTTTTCTGTGCACACACTTTCAAAGCAGGCACTCAGAGAACCACATCTCAGACAGTGTTCAGACAGAATTTAGATCTCTTTCGCACCTTCTTGTGCTTGAATGGAAATCCGTCTCAGAAAGTATTCTCATAAACAGTCAGTTATGTCTTAAAGGAGACATATTATGCCCCTTTTTACAATATGTAATGCAAGTCTCTGGTGTCCCCAGAATGTGTCTGTGAAGTGTCAGCTCAAAATACCCCACAGATCATTTATTATATCATTTTGAAAATACCTATTTTGAGTGGAAGCAGAAACACGCTGTTTTTCGTGCCTATCTCTTTAAATGCAAATGAGCTGCTGCTCCCCGCCCCCTTTTCCAGAATAGATCTGTGCCATTACAGCTCGTACCTGCTAAAAACATCTGTTTTGGTTCAGATTATCATGTTTATCGCCCTGAAATCATGCGTTTTAAACAATATTAGTTTAAACTTATGATATATGGTTTTCTGAGCGCACACAACCGAAGCACACGGACAGAAAGCGGCTGTCACAGCATGTGAGTACTAAACTAAGTTCTCTTTCACACACAAGTTTGTTAAAAACACACATGAGTTAGAAAAACAGTAGGTTATGTCTGTGAAGGTAAACAGCTGAGAAATAAATCACATGTTTATTTTAGATCTGTGTGACAGCAGCAATATACAGTAAATAAATCAATAAATCCTCTGCTCTGTTGTCTCCTCTGAGGCTGGGACTGTAAACGGTGTTCTGTGCTCGTCTGTGCAGCCAAAGACAGAACAGTTAGCATGTTTTGCTCAAACCTTCGCCATGGCATTAGAACTGGTACACCGTTGTCACTTGCAAAATCAAAATGACGGCGCTGTGGGTGTAAACTTACAGATTAAGGGGCGGTAATATTATAATGAGATCCCTTTGTGACATCACTAGGGGAGCAAAATCAGAACCGCTCGTTTTCTCAGACGCTTGCAGAAAAGGGCTTACCAAAATAAAGTTACTGGGTTAATCTTTTTCACGTTTCCTTGGTTGGTAGATGCATCGGGGACCTGATTATAGCACCTAAAACCTGGAAAAGTCAGATTTTCATGATGTGTCACCTTTAAGTGAAGTGAACATAAACAAAAAGAAATCGGTTGTGTTTTATTATGTTGGATCCATGCATTCAGTCTTAAAGTGACATTAGACTGCTATACCTGCCTATACAGCATGAACAAAGATTAATCTATACTTAATTTATATAATGAACACTATGCAGTGTTATTTTACATGTAATTATTTTATTACTGACTGTTCTTGTCAGTAATAATCTTTGAACTTTATTAGTTATGCTACTAGTTTTTGTCATGGTATTGAATAAGTACTTAATGTTCTTTAAGTAATAATAAGATATGTAAGATTTTTTTTTTAGGGATTAATAGTTTTATTCAACAAGGATGGCAGAACTGTATAATGTTATGTAACATTTCTTTTGGACTGATATTAATAAGAAATGTTTTTTGAGCGCCAAATCAGCTTGTGATTCTGAGGGATCATGTGACAATGAAGACTGGAGCAATGGCTGCCCAATATTGAGCTTTGCCATCATGGGAATAATAAATATATTCAAATGCAAACATTTATTTTAAATTTGTAATAATAATTCACAATATTATTGTATTTACTGTATTTTGATCAAATAAATGCAGTGAGACTTCTTCAAACTTTTGAACAGTAGTGTATGTAAATAGGCTACTTCTATACGTGGCAGACCATGCAATTTTATTAATTTATTATTTGCATAATCAAATATGATGTGGATCAGTCTGAGGATCACCATGGAAACTGCTTAACAATTTACTCAGCTTTTATTCTTAGTATCCCCTGGTGTTCACCTGGTGTTCATTTTGCATGGTTAAATAATTTCATAGCTGTATGAGAATAAGGGGCTACTAAATGGCATTAATTTGAATATTTGCATTTTTGGCTCATAGACACACCCGACACAGACAGCCTTCCTCTCCAGCGTGGATCTGCACACACACAGCTCTTATCAGCTCATGCTACCAGAAGCCATCGCCATTGTTTGCGCACCTAAACACAATGAGTGAGTATGACACTTATATATGTGTTCACACAAGCTAAAGGCTTTTTTCATCTGCGTCTGCAGCACTACATCAAATTAATGCAGATGAATGAATTTTTTTATCAATGGTTGTTTGATTGTTTAACAATTGTTTATCATTTCAACATCCATGAATCATTTCGGGATTCTGGTTGTTAAAAAAATTATTTTATGTAAATAAATTCAAAGAATGAATCTCATTAAACTATAAATAAACTACACCTTGCAAATATATTCTATATTTTATCATTTGTCTAAATTGATTGTTTTTTTAATGGCTAGATTTCCGAAACACAAAAAACGTACAGAAATTAAAAGTATATAGATACATACTGTATATAGCTATGCTACACCTATGCATACTCCAAAAAATAAAAAGGTTGTATTACAAAAAGTATATTATGTATATAAACAAACGTCATTGAGGTGTGTCATTTTGCTTCTTCAGCACAGGAGTGTTCCGCCTCACCAGTGCTGGAATGGGAGAAGTGGCTGGATGCCGATTGAAAGGTTTTCACCCCCACTCTAAAGACCCTCCTCTGTTCACTGTAAGAACCCTCTTTTCCCGCTGTGAATATGAAAATCGGCAGCTATATGTGCCTTCCGTTACAAATGTTGGCATCAAAATTTAAACACCTTTAGAGAAGTGAAAAATAGTTTTTTCTATTTGCAGATTTGCAAGCACATTGTGGTGAAGGACTCGAAAACAACAGTTCTGGACCTCAGGTGACAGAGGAAGAGAGGAAATATTTCAGCAAACCATTAAGGATATTTATATCTTTCTTTACTTGAAGGCTTTTTTTGTATTTATTTATTTTACAAAAAGGTAGAATCCCTCAGCTGCACAGTTTGCTGTGAGCAGGTTTAGTGAAGTTATTGAGATGTTCCAATGGTGTTTTGTGTTTTTTAGGTTATCATGCGCTTTTTGTTCATGGCCAGGTGTTTAACAAAAATGTTGTGGTCAGATTGTACCATCTCATCATTTGACTGCTGTTTTGGTTCTTTGTCCTCAAGGTGGCGTCCTTTATCAAGGCATACTATGAGGCTGCTACAATGTGAATTGATTTCAGGACTTTTTTAAAGGAAGTTGTGTGTGTGTCTGTGTGTGATTTGCCTTTTCACATCAATCAAATCGCAAATTTCACACGCTTTAACACAATATACACTGAAGAAGTGAAATTTCATTTTAAACCTAACTGAATTTTCTAGTTTTGTGTTTGCTGCCAGTACAAAAATAAAATGGTTTGCTACGAGAGTCATTTCTAGGCCTTACTATGTTAAAATCGATGTGGTTGAATGGTTGATAATTACACTTTGTATATACAGTAAGTTCAGATATTTTCAGGCTAAAGGATTTCTGTCTTTTTCAACTTCAGCCTAATGACGTGATACGAAGTTGGCCAGTGAGCTGACTGTTTTGATTTCCAAGTTCAGCATTTTTTCCAATGTGGACCTGATTACAAGGGAAGTGACTCTTGAAAAGTATAAACAAGATTGGAATCTCTTAGAGCAGACCAAAGTTCCCATAACAGAATAAGCAAAGAAACCTAAGAGACCTTACCAGAGGCCCTTGAATGCACTACTCTCAGGGTTCCATTCCCTCATTTTAACAACTTGACTTTTGTCTCCACTATATTTATGGTTTGAGAAGAAAACTTTTTGTCACCAGCTGAAGATGAAATTCGCTGTACGATAAGTTGTGAACTCCATGCAGTTCAGAGAGTGTTCACTATATCATGTATTTCTTGTATAATGTGGCATTGGATTGTTTCTTCAGTGTGTTGCTGTTTGCCAGTGGCTCCACTGACATGTGCTGTGCTGTTGTGGCTCTTTGTGCGCAAGAGAGTATAAGTGCAACACCATTTTTCCTCAGCGCATTTGTTAATAAAAGCAAAAAACCTCTGTTATGAAACAGCATGATGCTGTTTTTTGTTTTTTTAATCTGTAATTTATTTAGAGTGAAAAGCTTCAATATCTACCCAAGCAAACTGATGATAGAATGATGGAATGAGAAGCAAACATTTAGCATGATTCATCACAGGATATTGATTGCTCATACATGTTTCAACATATCAGGTATTTTTGGTCAAAAATGGGAAAACAATTTCCATTAACATTTAGTTTAAGAAAACACCTTAGCATTTTTGACCGGTGATTTTCCATGACTTTTGTTCTTGTCCTTTATGATGATTAGAAATCAATAATTATTTAAAAAATGAAAATAAATATAATCATTTTGATGATATTAATAATTAGGAAGAATAGTAGTTTCTTTTAACAGAAATTGCACTCAAAAGAGCAATTTCTAGCTGATTAAGTATTATAGAGATGAACTAGAAAAGCTTTTAAATACTTCCAGTTTTTCAATAGGAACCCTGTGTATAAAGAAATTTGATTTCATTTACAGTGACTACAGTGAGTATATAGAAATATTTCTATGTATTAACATGACAAATTTTAAGAATATAATTTAGATCTGTTTTAATTTTTATGTGCAAATATTAATCATGTGCTGTGGAATTTGTTGCAGAAACAAAAGAGGTGAAATACAGGTTATTATTGCAGAGCTTTATTCCTTCATGGAGTTATCATATGATATCCAAACAGACTGCCTGAAAGCCGACATGCAGTTGTGTTACCCCCTAGCATTTTAACACAAAAGGGAGAATGAGCCCTGTTCCTCAATGCCCTCTTCTCATCTCTGGAGTCTCGCCACCCAAAAGAATCTCCCCAATCTTTCAAACTGGCAGCACTATCAAGCTTTTGAACCCATTTAGAACAACACGATATTGTCATGACATAATTAAATCAAAACATTAAAACAGATGTGGGCAGTGCAAAGACAAAACAATAGAGGGAAGTAAAGGGTACACATTCACAGTTTACAGGCTATGAAGCAATAATAGAATTAGGGGAACAGGAGGGAGTTGGAGGTCTCGTTTAGAAGCACTTGCGATGCACAATGGATGGCCCGGCCTCGTCATACTCTTGCTTGCTTATCCACATCTGCTGGAAGGTGGAGAGGGAGGCTAGGATGGAGCCGCCAATCCATACTGAGTACTTGCGCTCAGGTGGGGCGATGATCTGAGTACATACAAGGTAGAAGCAAGGGTATTTTAGTACTGATGATATAGTTAATATGTTGAATTTGTTTTTACTTTGACCTTTTCGTTTAAATTTGACTGAGTTTGTTGTGTTTTTGATTAGTTTTTTTTGTATGTCTATATTTTATGTATATAGTTGCTTTGGCAACTAGCTGAAATAGGTTTTTGATTTCAGTTAATGTTTTAATGTTAAATATTTTTTAAACCAGTTTGAATAAATTAATCGAATTTGTTTAATAATGTATCCATTTCAAAACTGTTATTGAAACTGAATTAAATCAACACTGAGCTGATTGAATAACACTGTGCTAAGATGATAACCCCATTGTGGACTTCTCTAGAGCTGCTTGTAGCTGAAGTGAACTTGTTTCATAATTAATAAACTTTACAGTTATTGAATTGAACTGAATAATGTCGTTTTTAGAGCTCCTTGGCAGCCGAATTTGAATTTGTCTCATATTTGAAGAAGTTTGCATTGATTCTGTTATTTTCCTGTTTATTACTGTAAGGCTGCTTTAAAACAATATTTATTGTATAAAGCGCTGTATAAATAAAGGTGACTTGACTTTTAGTTTAGTTAACAATAACCCCGGTTAGACCAGAAACTGATTAATTTGAAAAAGTATGAAAAATGAATGATCTAATCTGATCTTTGGCCTATGCTGACCTTGATCTTCATGGTGCTGGGGGCCAAAGCAGTGATCTCCTTCTGCATCCTGTCTGCAATACCAGGGTACATGGTGGTACCACCAGACAGCACGTTGTTGGCGTACAGATCCTTACGGATGTCAATGTCGCATTTCATGATGCTGTTGTAAGTGGTTTCATGGATGCCAGCAGATTCCATTCCTAGCATAGCGCAAATCAATGCATTTAAACATTTATATCAAAGTGCTCTGAATCCATCATTTGTAAAGAGAGGGGAAGAAAGAGAAGCGAGAGATCACCAATGAAGGATGGCTGGAAGAGTGTCTCAGGGCAGCGGAACCTCTCATTGCCAATGGTGATGACCTGTCCATCGGGAAGCTCATAGCTCTTCTCCAGAGAGGAGGAAGAGGCTGCAGTGGCCATCTCATTCTCAAAGTCCAACGCCACATAGCACAACTTCTCCTTGATGTCTCGGACGATTTCTCTTTCAGCTATACATGGCAAATGAGAAAGACTTGGTAAAACAAAATTTTTAAATCTATATGATAAAATAGTAATTAGTTCAACTAAAACATTCAAGTGATACTAATTAGAACACATTAAGTTTTTTTTCTTATGCCCATTGGCAATTGTTTCTTGTTATATTCAAAATATAAGCGTAAAACTATATTTTATATTTCATATCATTATGCTGGTACTGTTCATGTCCAGACCCACCAGTGGTGACGAATGAGTAGCCTCGTTCAGTTAGGATCTTCATGAGGTAGTCAGTGAGATCACGGCCGGCCAAGTCCAAGCGCATAATGGCATGCGGAAGAGCGTAGCCCTCGTAAATGGGCACATTGTGGGTGACACCATCACCAGAGTCAAGGACAATGCCTGTTTGTCAAGAATAAAGTGCTTGGTAATGTGTAGCAATGTAAGTCAAATGTGAGCTATGGCCTGTTTGACAGGTGAACTGACCTGTTGTACGACCAGAAGCATAGAGGGAGAGCACCGCTTGGATAGCTACATACATGGCTGGAACATTGAAGGTCTCAAACATGATCTGCAAAGTGAGACCAGCACTGTGTTTATGAACAAAACCAACAATCAACCAAGTGCTTTCGGGTTTTACTGAACAGTAGGTTAAAATATTGATTTCTGATTAATCTTCTCTTTGACAATGCCAAGAAATTGACTCTTAAAATCTGCAGATCACTCTATGTGTACACTGTAAATGTGTCTTTTTATAGAATTGTCATCACTGGCTGCATGCAAAAACAAACATACAACATGACCAGTCTAATCTGAATTACAAACAAATTAGCCGTTATTTTTAGTTAATCTAAAACATACAGCACAACCAGTGTAGCTGTTTCCCTAAACAAATGACTCTTATGAATTCTGTTGATGATCAGTTCGAATAGACAAGTTGCCAGTTTGAAGCAATCAGAACACGTTATAAATACTGTCCTTTTTTAAATACTATTCAGCAAGGACACATTAAATTATTCAGAAGTGAAAGAAGAGACATTTACAATGCTACAAAATAAATTCTGTTCCCTTGAAAGTTATAGTCATCAAAGAATCATGAAAAAACGTATCATCTGTTATCAACATTTAATAATAAGTAAAAATGTTTCTTGAGCACCAATTCAAATTACAGCAAATTACAATGATTTTTAAAGAATCGTGTGACATTGAATTATCATTTTGTGCTCTTTGGAATTGCCTAGGATTTTTTTTAGAATAGCAATTTTTTTTATTTAAAATGAAATTTCATATTTTGTTCTACAACATAAATTACACATAGATATACCTCAAACATGCATTTTGAAGCCACCGTGGGGGAATTTTCTTCTACTACCAAAGCCACAATGGGTTTTTATTTTTACTACTGATAATCGTAGCAGTTAAATAATCGCTTACATTCAACATTTGCGTTTTGACAGTGCATGATTTATGTCATGCAAGATAATATTAATCAACTCCACAGTTTATTTTTATGTGCTTTCTGCATAACTTAGAACCAAACACCGCACACAAGTGAATTCACTGTTACTGAAATTACTGTAGGCTTATCTGATAACATCTCAAGACCCTGATGGCTTACAGGAGGTAAGCTGGAGTTGAAGCAAATTCTTGTCAGTTTTATACAGCTTTTTCATTCACCCGTGAATTCAGCTCTAACCTGGGTCATCTTTTCCCTGTTGGCTTTGGGATTGAGAGGGGCCTCTGTCAGTAGAGTGATACAATTACAGATGCTAAAAAGTAGATGCATCAGACATGTATGTGCATATTAATTCCTCATAAACATAAATGCTTTCAGTAATATCCTTTGGTAAATCTGCAAAAAGAAAATATATCTACTGTACTTTTAGAAACACTTCCAAGGATAATCCTTAGAAACATCATTGCAAAAACATCATACAATAATATTTCACTTACATTAAGATGAATCTAAAAAACACTTCACAAAACACTCTAGCCAACCAAAACTTTGTAAAAGAAGCTTACACCTGTGCAGAAACCTTTTCTCTAAACAACAGCTTGTTTCAAGTTCAAGCTTGACAAAACCTCATTTGAGTCTATCAGCATCAGGTAATGCTTGCAAAGCACAAAGCTGGATGGACAGACAGAGATGGAGAGTGAGAGACAAAAAGAGAGAGGATGTGAGGCGACATGAATGACACTTACCCTGACAGTGCTGGGCCGGGGGGGATTTAGCCACTTGGTGATGGTGTACCACTCACTGGCTTGTGGTGTACTTATGTAGTTCCCATCCCTGCTCACCGCACCCTCCCACATCCCAAACAAGGAGCCTGGGCTGCACTCAGATCGGTAGCCTCACTCCACTAAAGCCTTATAGGGATGACTGGGAGAAAACACTCCAATCCGGGCAGCAGCAGGGCGGCCTCCTGCCTCATCACTCAGGGCATTCCAGTGGCCCTTTTCCGTTTTTTCTCCTTGGAAATTTTGGGGACCTCACTATGCAGGAACATAAACACAGTGCTGGGCCCTGCTCTACTACACAGACACATATCCTGGCCCACGCCTAAAACTGAGAAAGAACAGCAAAGTGAATTTAGATCGTGTCATCATTAGGGTTTAGGTCACACACTAAAAGCACTTGACAGTGTGAAAATTCAAACTACCATGTAGCAAAAACACCACAAAAAGTGGTAACCTGCAACAATTACCCTAATGATAAGCTATTTTACCTGATTTAATACTTATTACTAATTTATTTATTTATTAATTTTTATAAAATAATTATATATTAATATTATTATTAATAATAATATTATTATTATATTATTTATAAAATTTTGAGTTAGGCATATTTTTTGTTGAGAAGTTTGGGGTCAGTAAGATTTGGTCAAGTTTTTGAAAGAAACCCGTGCTCAGCCATTTATTTTAATATATTTTCAAATGTATTTTGTTCATTTGATAGCGAAGCTGACATTTCTTGATATTGTCAATGATGAAAATCATTGTTGATCGTTGTTGATCAATATTTTGTGGAAACAGTGATATATTGATGAATAGAAAATTCAAAGTACAGCATTATTTAAAATAGAAATGTTTAATTATAAATGTTTTTGCTGTAACTTTTGACACACACACACACACACACACACACACATCTTCTTTAAATCCATCCTGGAGCCCTTACTGAGTGCACCATGGGAAAACTTCCTAATTTGGAAATGATGGGGAAGCATGTCTCTCTTTGGACTCTCCCTCCCTCTGTTTCTGCCTGTCTACAGTACTTTATGAAAAAAGAGAGTGGGTGAGGAAAATAGGGGATGGGTCAGTGGTCCAGAAGAACCATATTTAGTCATAAACCTCACAAATCAAATAGGCTTCCACACTTGTCCTAAATTCTAAGCCTTCACTGTCAACAATCAGCAATCAGCATCATCATACAATCACATTATAGATGCTAAAATAAATATGACTTTGACATATATGTGCATATTAGTTCCTCTAAAACATAAACACGTTCAGTCATATCCTTTGATTGGTAAATCTGCAAAAAGAAAATCATTCCACAGTGCTAATCCTTGGAAACACTTCTAAGGATAATCCTTAGAAAAGCAGTGTAAAAACATTACACAATAATATTTACTTAAATCAAGATGAATCTATTCTCACTAAACACTTGAAACATTATAAAAGCAGCGTACACCTGTGCACAAATCATTTCTCTAAACAACCGTTTCAACATATTTCAAGTTCAAGTGCTTAAAGCTTCACGAAGCCTCATTTGAGTCTATCAGCATCAGGTAACTCTTGCAAAGTAAAAAGCCGGGTGGACAGAAAGAGATGGAGATCGAGAGACAAAAAGAGAGAGGATGTGAGGCGACATGAATGACACTTACCCTGACAGTGCTGGGCCGGGGGGGATTTAGCCACTTGGTGATGGTGTACCACTCACTGGCTTGTGGTGTACTTATGTAGTTCCCATCCCTGCTCACCGCACCCTCCCACATCCCAAACAAGGAGCCTGGGCTGCACTCAGATCGGTAGCCTCACTCCACTAAAGCCTTATAGGGATGACTGGGAGAAAACACTCCAATCCGGGCAGCAGCAGGGCGGCCTCCTGCCTCATCACTCAGGGCATTCCAGTGGCCCTTTTCCTTTTTTTCTCCTTGGAAATTTTGGGGACCTCACTATGCAGGAACATAAACACAGTGCTGGGCCCTGCTCTACTACACAGACACATATCCTGGCCCATGCCTAAAACTGAGAAAGAACAGCAAAGTGAATTTAGATCGTGTCATCATTAGGGTTTAGGTCACACACTAAAAGCACTTGACAGTGTGAAAATTCAAACTACCATGTAGCAAAAACACCACAAAAAGTGGTAACCTGCAACAATTACCCTAATGATAAGCTATTTTACCTGATTTAATACTTATTACTAATTTATTTATTTATTAATTTTTATAAAATAATTATATATTAATATTATTATTAATAATAATATTATTATTATATTATTTATAAAATTTTGAGTTAGGCATATTTTTTGTTGAGAAGTTTGGGGTCAGTAAGATTTGGTCAAGTTTTTGAAAGAAACCCGTGCTCAGCCATTTATTTTAATATATTTTCAAATGTATTTTGTTCATTTGATAGCGAAGCTGACATTTCTTGATATTGTCAATGATGAAAATCATTGTTGATCGTTGTTGATCAATATTTTGTGGAAACAGTGATATATTGATGAATAGAAAATTCAAAGTACAGCATTATTTAAAATAGAAATGTTTAATTATAAATGTTTTTGCTGTAACTTTTGATCAGTTTAGTGCGTCCTTCCTGAATAGAAATATTAATTTCTTTCTTTCAAAAAATACAAACAAAACAAAACAAAAACCTGTCATACTTTTGAACAGTATATATTTCTCTGTGTATAAAGGTTTTGGGCCACTGAAGCACATTTTAAAACACTATATAAGGCTAGAATAGCTAGATTTAAAAAGGCTAACATGAATTTCCTGTGTGGCACCGATTGACAAGCTTCAGCTGTGATAACAAATCTTTTAAAAACGATTTTCTGTGGGGTTGTGCAAAACATAAAAAACCATTCTGAGGGAAAACAATAGGGAGAGCATATTACAGTAAACTAAAGCATGACAAGCAGTGCTAAAAAGTCCTATGTAGAGAAAATCTTCATTTTTTCTTAACAAATACGTAGTGTTTAATGACAGAAGAAGAAATTACAATATGATTATGTGATAAAGAATACGTAAAGGTTATGTAAAGAATAATAACAGCTCTTTCATGGTCTGCTTTTTGATTTTGATTTTGATTCATCATCTTCTGGAGAATGAATGCTGACAAAATCTTCAGCCTGAGAAGTGTTTGGACCTACAATACTTGCTTGACCACTACACTAAATAAAGATATGGGTGTAGAAAGGTGTAGAAACAATTTTCACTCAGAAACTGGTAGTAAATTGCACAATTAATTACAAAGAAATGGCAAGTAACACATTGAATTAAACATGAAATTCTGATAATCTTCCAGTAATCTTTGTTTTATTTACAACTTTGAAAAAAATTGTAATCTTTTGATCTTTTATTACACTGTACTGAACCATATTTTCAGTACACTGTAAAAAAAAAAAAGGGAAAAAAAGAGAGAGAGTAAAAAATCCAGTCATAGAAGGAAGTAAATCAACAAAGATCTTACAAATCTAAGCTGAGATATAAAGAATAACATCTTGCATTATCAACCAACCGGTTGCCTTGCCTGTTGACTTCTGAAATGCTAAAAACACACTCATTAATAAAATATCATTAGAGATTAAAGGAAGTTTAGTTTCTAAGACACTAATAACTACCACAGTTTCAGTTATTTCATTTCTTTCCAAGTTTCTAGTATCTGTCCTGGGATCACGCAACATTCTGGCTCAAGCATACAATGGAAAAACTCCATGGAATGCTTCTAATTAAACAACAGTCAGCAAAAGTATTCAATTTAAATGGAAAATGTACACAGATACATAGAATATATAATTACAATAATAGCTTAGATAAAGGAAAGCAGCCTGTGATGCAAAACACACCTAACTAGTCACACCAGGTCACTTTAGGTATGTTTGGGCTTTGTTTTTTTTTCTTTTCAGATACATTCCTGGGAAGATTTGCGATTAACCTCAAGTAAACAATCTCGCAGAATGCGTTTGTCTCTTTTTAGGCCATTTTCATGCTCAGCTGTCCTCATTCAAGACAAGAGCTTGCTTTCCCCTTCCCCTTCAGCAGTACGCGCAGCCTTGTCGCACCAAAAAAGGAACTGTTCTGTAAATTAGAAAAGTCTTGGCAGTCCACTGCACTCAGAGGCATGTAAGGGAAGAAATGACCCTTCTGAAGGTGTGGTCTGGGAAATCACACAAAATACAGTCTGCAGCAGACAAATACAGTGTATGTTGCATGCAAATGTCTCTGTCCTTGTGTGTATGGTGGAAGACCCCTCAGATGGGGGAAAGGCCGGAGGAAGAAAACTGTTTATACCCCCCCTTTTGACTTTGCAGCTTCATTGCCATGTTTAGGTGGTACAGTAGGATTCTGACTTGAAGGATAAGGAATAGTATGTGAATGTAGTATTTGGAGTTTGGCCTGAGCACAGTCTTATTGCCACTGTCGCCTTTTGGCTTGCTTAGTTGGGGACCCTTGACTGATTGCACTGACACTATTGGAAGAGAGCTGAACTGGAGGATGACAGCACTGAATCAT